AGATCATTATATTAGTGTTTCCCAGCGCTTCTATTTGGCCGAGAGGGAAGAGAGGGTTAGAGAGGATCCATAACAATTAGAAGGCCCAAATTGGATTTTACTAATGTAGAACTGGATATTCAAAGTTCAGAGGCTGCCATTTGTTAGTTAGTTTCGTTTTTTTTGTTTTTTTTTAATAATAATAATTTGTTAGTCGACATCTTCATGTATTTTTCTATTTTAAAGGATTTTATCTTAATTTGTAAATATTTTTGATGATTAGAGTGAATTATCGTTGTCGTTAGAGAGAGCTAAGGGAACCACTTGGAAAAAGCTAAAATGAATTATCAATAAAAACAATTGTGACATTTTTCTCTACCTGCATCATATATTCATGAGGTGTGAGTCACCTAAATGAAATTTGCATGAATTCGGATTTCCATTTTTAAATGCCATAAATATTCATGAGGTGGAAACTATTTTGGTGTGAGTCACCCAAATGATATTTGCATTAATTGGAATTTTTATTTTTAAAATACCATAAAACGACGGTATTAAAATAGCTTCGCTTTATCCTCGGAGCAGTAGAGGTACGCACTAAAGTAGAAAAATCCTCTCTGAAGGTAAAGCTCGTTCAGAATTGCCGCGAGCAAAGTTATAATAATTAGCTGAGGATTTCGTGGGTCTGTATCTTAAATTGAAATTCAAAACAACTTGTTGAATGACAGCAAAGTCGCGATTGTATGTTTTGAGCCTTAATTAAAAATGACCATATCTGCAAAGCGACAGCTGTATCACTCTCGTATTCCTAACCATACTCAACCATATTCTGCAAAGTTTTATCGGCGGAATAATGCCTTATAATCACTGCTGATAGTCCATGGTCCTCACAATCGAAACTGCGACTTTTGAGACATCTCCCGAATGCAAGGTACATTTTACTTTAAATTCTTTGAAATTTTCCAGTGCATATGTTGTAATGAGTTTCTCCATGCCGTTTATGGCAACGGTAAACGGCGAAAAAAAAAACCCAACTCACTTATTCCTAATACAATTTAGTCGATGCCGGACAAAAATTCTGAAAGATTTCTCGATCGCAGTTGAAGTAAATATTTAATCGAATTGTTAAACAACTGAAAGCCGACGGCCTTT